CTGGATTTGTTCCAGTTTCCGCCAGGAAAGTGATACTTAGGTGGGTAAAGAAATTTTTGAAAAAAAAAAACCAAAGCTAAGAGACCCCCAAGGACTCCACAGTTCAACCCTGAGCTACACATATTCACTTCTATTGGTACATCACTTTATCCTGTGAAAAGCTGTCATAGCCAGTAGCATGGAGGCTGTGGGTGAAATAGTATTTTTGTGTAAGTTGTGGAGAAGACCCCCTTTCTCTTTTTTATTTAATTGCATTTAATAATTAAAAAGGGGTGGCTAAAAATCTTAAAATGTCTGTGGCATTTGTTTCACAAACAATTAAAAACTATATTCCCCCAGGGACTCTACTATAGCCTCTTAACACTTCTATTGTCACCTTTCCATAGCACAAAACTTCCTGTGTTGACTTCTTGAGACACCATGAAGACAAATGGGTACCTTGTTAGCTTCATTAAATAGGATGTACTGTATTTGGAATCATAATTAACAGTTATTTGCCCTATATAAAAACAAAGCTTCTAAAAGCAGATTTTTATTGATGTCAGCCTCCAGGACAGGCTATGTTGCAAGGGTATGGCATATTATATAATCTGCATGAAAGGCTTGGTACTAATTCTGTTAGGAAAAGCTCAATAAATACATTTAAGAGAATTTCACTATATATGTAGCATTAGTCCTGTGGAATTTGATGTCTCTCCTCCAGAACACACAGATTTTGCCTTTTTACCAACTATTTCCAAATATGAAAGAAATGCAAGTGAAATGATTTCCCTTAATTATTTATGTCTCCCCTCTGTGGGGCCCCCTTTGTACATGGTGCTTTCAGAGAACAGCCATGGAAGACCTGCAGCTCAAGAGACTTACAGTCTAAAAATAGGCTCAAGAAAAACCAACAAAGGGAGTTCCCACAGCATCTGACTGATGTCCACAGGAAACCCACAGTGGGATAGGAATGCAACAGCTCTCTCCATGTTCCCTAGCAACTGGCATTCAGAGCTAGCAGGGAATATATAGCCATCATGACCAGTAGTCACTGCCTTACTTGCATGTTTTTTTTCCTAAGCCCTGGTGTGGAATAACCATCATTGCATATTGTGCAATCCAGTCCTTTTTTAATTATCTAATGGATGTCTTCCCAGGCGTAACACATTGATCAGTGGAAGATCTAATAGCTACATGGGTTCAACATGCTAAGCTTGGTTAGTGATCTTTGGTTGGGCCTTTGTAACAGCTTCCTGTATGGACTCAATTCATTTAGTTAGTTTACAATTCAAAATATTGCATCTACCTATTCATTCAGTTACCAGGTAAAGTGTGTAGTGGAAATTCAGCCCCTATATGAAGTAGAGGTGCACAAAATGGGAGGGGGGGATTGTATGTGGAACAAACACATTGTAGATTTGAAGTCTGCTGGACCTTGAGGGCTGAACCAAAACCTGAAATGTCTTATTTGTGCTGGGCTTAGGCCAAGACAAATCCAGAGGGGTCTTACAGAGCAAGTGGGGCAAAGCTGGTGCCCCTCATCCCTCCCATCCATTCTCTTCTGAATGTCCTGTGTGCTTATCCTTCCTCAGATCTTCCCACTCCTTTTCCTTACCTTCCCATAACTACCTTTGTACACAGATGCCTTCAATTATCTTTTTTCCATTCTCCCAACCCCAGAGCACCATGTTTTGGGTCCAGACCAAACATATACGTTGCACACCCTGTTCCAGGGTGATGAAATAAATGTGTTTCAGTCTGGATATGGACTGCCCAGACCTGCACGTAGAACCTTTTGCATATTCCTTGAAAACATTTGTATCTGCGTGACTCACCCCTTTTCAACTTTATTGAGGCTTGTCCACTTTGTCCAATAAATCCAACTTTGCTGCTCAGGTGGCACAACCTGGAACTGGAAATATAATGTCAGCTTCCTTCTTCCATACCATTTGAGTCCTCGTAGACCCTGAGAGGAGGGATTTGGTTTTGTGAAACAGCTGTTAAATTCCTTCTCTGAAGAAGAGTCAGAGGCCCACCAGGCTTTGGTGGAGTGGAGTGAAGACCTCAACAACAGCAGGCCTGGGTTGCTCACCATTGCATTCCTGCATCCTTGGCAACATCTATAGTTATGACTTCCATTGGCATAAATTATTTATGCCTCTAATGCTCATACATAGAGGTGCAGAATTTCTTAGCTCTTGGGTAAGTCTATTTGTGTTACCTAAGCAATTCGTCCCCCTCAACAACCATATATGCGTCATTCAGTGACTCAGGAGACATACATTGCCTGTTTACCATTACATTAAAATATCTGGTGCAGATATTCTGCTATGGTTTTATTGGAAAAACAGTTCATGTAGCTAGGCTATATCATGTTTATTACATTATTATCAGGAGATTTAGATTCTATGGGGAAAAAAATCTATCATCACCAGAAGCTCATTTGATGTTGCTGGTAATGTTGGAAAGCTACAGGTTCAACAGAAAACAACAGGGTTTCCAGAGATTGTAGAATTCTAATTCCTCATGCAAAATATTATAAATTGTAGATGGTGATGCATTTTCCATACAGATCTTCTCGTTGGCAGAAAGAATATGAATCCAGGGGAGTTACCTTCATCCAATATGTGATGTGCGAGTATGAAAAAGTCATTCCACTCTTAGAATTAGTAAACTAGCTGCACGACTGTTAGCTGCAATAACTATAAATTAAACTGCTTCCTTCAACTGGTGTTTTACATCTCTGTATGGGAATTTTGTCCATTCAACTCAACAACATTTGAAGGTTTTCTGGTGCTAGCTATCCATTTCAGGTCCTGCCACATAATTTCTATAGGGTTTAAGAGTTGACTTTGTCTTGGCTGTTCCAAACCGCTGAAATTGCCGTCGTGTTGTCGAAGGCTTTCACAGCCCGGAAGACCCACACCAGCCCTGAAATTGTCCTTCATCCAGTCTCTCGTTCACCTGCGTGAATGTTTCAAGACTTTTTCTGACTGAAGATTGGTGTGGCCCTGGAGGTAGAAATGGTTTGCTAACCTTCCCAGGTTGATAGGCATCAATGTATTTTTAAATGAGTTATTCAGAAATTTGTTTTGATTTAATCATTGATTTGGTTCCGTAAGCTATGGTTTGATTTAGCCATGGCTTATGGAACAACCAGCGTGGCTGGATCCACACTAACCCGTAACCAACCCAAACATATCCTAGCTTAATGGATGGGCAAATCCATTCTAGGAAGGATCAAGTTTAAAACTATTTTGGCTGTATTGTAACTTAATCCTGCCCATTCCTTTCAGCCTTTAGCACCAGCGTGTCTGCCTATACTTCTTGGATTTACCTAAGTTTCAGACATTTGCCAGAAAGGAACATCCAGAAAAGCTTTGGAACCAGGAATCTAAACCTGTGCAAGAACGCCTAGAGCAGTTTCTCAACTTTTTTTTTTTTTTCTATTCCTCAACCTTGGCAACTTCAAGACATGTGGACTTCAACTCCCAAGTTTCTCAGCCTTGGCAACTTCAACTCCCAAGTTTCTCAACCTTGGCAACTTCAAGACGTGTGGACTTCAACTCCCAGAATTCTGGCTGGGGAATTCTGGGAGTTGGTCCACACGTCTTGA